AAAAGTTTAGAATCATCCAATTTTTTATGTCCTCAAGACAAGCCTGTAATCTAACTAAACGATTAAGTTATCAGGGTTAATGGATAAATATAACTGAGTATCGTCAGCATAACAGTGGATGTTTATCCCATGCTATCTAATGATTTTACCAATTGGGAGCATATATATAGGAAAAAGAATTGGTCCAAGCACTGAACCCTGTGGTACTCCACAAGTAACCCTGGAGTATGAAGATTTGTCATGTACATTTACAAAATGAAATCTGTCAGACAGGTAGGATTTAAACCAGCCTAACACTGTTCCTTTGATCCCTACAACATGTTCAAGTCTTTTTAAAAGAACATTGTGATCAACTGTGTCAAAGGCAGCACTGAGATCTAACAAGACTAGAACAGACACAAGATTCTTATCTGAGGCCATGAGAATATAATTTGTAACTCTCACTAATGCAGTTTCAGTGCTGTGATACTCTCTAAAACCAGACTGAAATTCCTCAAACAGAGTATTAGTGTTTAAATGCTCACATACTTGGATGGCCACTATTTTCTCCAGGACTTTGGATAAAAATGGAAGGTTAGATATTGGTCTATAATTCATTGGGTCATCTGGATCCAGAGAAGTCTTCTTAAGTGAAGGTTTGATTACAGCAACCTTAAAATCCTGTGGTACATACCCATTTACTAAGGATAGATTGATTGTATCTAGAATGGGGGCAGTAACCAAAGCAAATGCATCTTTAAATAATGTGGTTGGGATTGGATCCAAAATGCAAATGGAAGGTTTAGATGAAGCTAATATTTTATAACTCTGAAAGCTCAACTGGATCAAAACGGTTCAAACACAGATGAGGTTCTACAGTTACCTCTGATGCTGCCTCACTTACTGAGGAAGAAGAAATCGCATTAGGGAGGATGCTAAAGATTTTGTTTCTAATAGAATTAATTTTACTTGTGAAAAATCCCATAAAGTCATTGCTGCTGAGGGCTAAGGGAATAGATGGATCAGAGCTATGATTCTGTGTAAGTTTGGCAACTGTACTGAAAAGAAATTTAGGATTATGCTTATTCTCCTCAATTAATGCTGAAAAATAAGCAGTTCTAGTTTGTCGAAGCTTATTTTTATAAAGCACCAGACTATTTTTCCAGGATAGGTAGGCCTCCTCATGGCGCGTAGAGCGCCATGTTCTCTCCAATTTTCTAGAGTTTTGTTTTAAAGCTCGTAAATGAGAATTAAACCAGGGAGCCGACTTCCTGTCCCCTAATTACCTTCTTTTTTAAAGGGGCAACCTCATCGAATGCCACACGTAAAGAGGAAGTAATATTTTGAACTAAGGCATCAATTTGTGAGGGGCTAGAACTGAAAATATTGCCCTCTGCTACATGCCTCTGAGATGCAGAGGACAGTAAAGATGGAACAGTTGATTTAAAAGATGCAACATCGTTGTCAGATAGAGACCGACTATAGTGAAATTTACTTTCATGTCTCGAGAACTCAGTTCTAAAAAACTCAAAGGTTATCAGAAAGAAATCAAATCATTAGATACTAAATTGTCCTTATGGGGCAGTGGTGTTGAATTCTGGTCCCTGAGGGCCACTATCCAGAAGGTTTTGGTTGTTTTCCTGCTCTGATTAAATGGTTGAATTACTTGATAAAAATTTCATAAAGCTCTGCAGATGCCTGTTGATCACCCACTGAGTAAAAGCCGGTGGGTTGGAGCAGAGAGCGAGCTATCCTATATATATGAATATATAGTGTGGCCACGAGCCATAGACAGAGCTCAAACTGTCTCCACATGCTAATGGACAACAACAAATGTGACACATCACTGCTACACATGTCAGTCAATAGGGCAGACAAGCTCCCATAAATGAGTCTTTGGATGTTCATCTAATACTGATGTACTTTTGGAGTAAACCCTAAACCAAGATGGCTGTCACAGCTGACCCACCTTAGCAAACACAAAAATGGCTTTAACACTATCAACTTCTACTAATGTTGTCGTTTTAGTCATGAAAGGAGAAATCTTTTGAAGAATCTCTTTTAAAGGGTTGATGTTGATTTTAGATGTAACTGACTTTGGGATTGTTATAAGA